TTTGAATATTGCTCAAGTCGGAAAACAGATTTCCTTTCATTAGAGGTCAAGTGCACACTACAAAATATTGTAGTTGTCAAAGAATAAACAAACACTGGTCTATAATAAAATAATATTGAGGCTCAAAACTGACCCTGAATAACAAAACTAATTAAAAGATTACAAAACCAATGATATGTGGTACGAATTTTAATAATTATATTTAAAAAATAACTCAAAAATTATTCAGTCGTAGCAAATTAAAGGCCTTCAAACAAAAATATTGATTTATAAATTTCAATAAGCTTATATAGTACTGTAAATCAATTAATACTAATTTTTCAAATGATATTTTCTTTAATTATTTAACCTATGCGCGATGATTAAATGTTTAAACAAAACATAATTTTAAGTTTATAGGAATAAATCATCTCATTAAAACCGAATTTAATATGTGATGATGAATGCAAAATAGTCATTTATTAATAAATTCAATTATTACAAAATTAGTGAACGTTGAATTTATTTTCGTTAATTTTCTATACTTAACACATTGAAACTTGAAAAAATTCGTTATAAACAAACGAAAAACAACGTTTTTTGACGAACACATCGTGTAAATAATATTTGGCTTTTTCATGTCAATTGTGGAATATGAATATATTATTCTTATAGCGACTAAAAATAAAGCATGTAAATAAGTAACATTTATGCATATTGTTGAGAAAAAAGTACTTTTGTTTGACTCATAGGATGAGTAATGCTGTGGCAAGCCGATAACGATACTGTTGGGTCACGTGAAACAATACCAGCAATGTAACAAATGACATGTAGGACAGTTAAAAACCATATTATACTAAAGCTTAAAACAGTTCAGATATTTCTGTTTGAACACTGAAATATGACTTCTGTGTAATTTTTACTCCCGTATGATCCCTTAAGTTTTAACATCTGTTTAAAGATTACGATATTACAATATAAAATGAAAATTGATCTATGGTTATTTCTCTCAAAACAATAACTTGGAGGCTTCATATAAGTCAAACGAAAATATATAATAAATTTAATGATTTCCTTCTCTAAATATATCTATAAAAATTAATTTAGTCAATTTATAATTGATTAGTAAAAAGAAAAATTACATAAATATAATTTATTTGTTTAAAGGTTAAGGTTATTCATTCATATAAATATTTAGGTATATATAAACTGTAGAACTTTGTCAAATAAAACAATAACATTTTGGTCAAATTTACACTCCGCTAGTTTTTATGATTTTATAGAAATGAATTTTTTATAATTAAAATGTGCAAACTTTCATTATGTTGAAATCGAAATGTGTTTGGTAAATACATTTGTATAGGTAAATACCTATACATTTTCACTTAATTATTTTTATTAACGAATAAACTCACTGACCTTCTGACCGAAATAATAATACTCTAGACATATTAGTTGTATTTTCCCCTAACATAGTTTTTATTTACATAACTTTTACATATAAAATGTTTCGATAAAATTGACAGGTGACAGAATGTATTGATTTTCATTGTACACCTTATAATATGGAATTTTAGAATACGATAAAATCGGTTTTTTATAAATAGTTTATTATAATATCACATGAATAAAGGATATAAGGTTAGGTTCATACATTTTAAAAGTGACCTTAAACCTTTGACACGATATTGTCAATAATGGGGAAGAACAAACCTCAATAAAAAAATAAAAATATAATAATGCCCACATATTTTTTAATAACATTTGTAATATTCAATGATTTTAACTTTTAAGTAATAATTGACGCTTAAAATATTGAAATATTAATAATTAATAAAACTGTACATCTTATACTTGAAAGTTTTATTTTTTTAATTTAGTTTAAGGAAGATAACTAATTTATGTTCCTATAAGACAAATATTCATTATTTTTTAAAATATAATCAAGATTAAAATAATAAAAACATGAAAAAAAGATTTCTCTATTAGTTTACTTATAATCTTTTTAAAGGTAAAAATTTAATTTCTGTCAGTGAGAAATATTTTTTTTTTTTTTTTTTATTCAGTAAATTGATATGTATGTGTCTCAATAATTATGAATGAAAATAACTAAAAAATAAGACGCATTATTATTACACGTCTTATTTCTTAAAGTTTTTTTTTGAAAAATTACAAAAACAACTGTTTATACTGATATTTATTAACATCTGCAAATTGTGTTATTTTGAACTAGTTGTTGTTGAGATACAAGCATTTTGAGTCCAATACTATAGCTTACATATAGTATAATATATTATAAATTTCTTAATCTAAATTGAAAGGAATTATTGTAAAAATAACTATGAGTACTAAATGAGTAAACATGATTCAATTATAAAAAATAAAGATCCAATAAAGTAAAGTTCAGGCATTTTTAAGATTAGTATTGATTGATATTTAAGAGTAATTAAAATTTATGTCTAAAACACATATGTCGATGCGTAATTGAAACATAATAAAAAAAATTTAACGTTTCTACCAAAAATTACATGTCTTATAACTTTAATTATTCATAGAGAATAAATCATTGGAACGTTTTACTTTTTGTAATCATATAATACATTACACCAGCTTTATTTTGAAATAATTTAGTATGATTTATGCATTCCGTTACTAAGTAAAATATTTTAAAATTGACTAATTTTACCGAAAATTGTAAGATTTTTAACTTTAATATCCAGTAAACTCCCAGAAATCATGATTTCGAATAGTTTTTCTTTTTTAATCTTAAAATACAATGTATTAGCTTTAATTTAATGTAAGTTTAAGAAAGTCAGATTTTTGGAACATTATCAAAAATTGAAATAAAAAAATATCCTAAGTTAATGATTGAATTGCAAAAAAAGTACTTTGTCGGCGAGACAAAAGTTTAATGTATTATTAACAAAAATTTTGTAATAATTTATCCAGTTTATTATTACAATATAAAGTGAAAACTAAAAATATTAACATTACAAATATTTTTATTATTGGGACCGAGAGGAATTTTTGAAAATTTAGCACTAATAGCCTTAACAAGATACGCTTTGTGATCTTGTGACATATTACTGAACAAAATCAATCTAAACTAATAACATCGAAGCTAAAAAATGTAATTTTAAGAAAAAGAGGTATAAACTATTTAATGAAATATGTTTCTGATCTAATATACAGCAAAACGATTTTCAGTAGCGTATTTAGAAATATTGTATAGGGGTCCAGATAGCTTTTAGAACATAGAGTAATGAGAAAATTCACCCCTCCACTACTTTCGCTTCTATTATTTTACACCCATAGGAGGACTCCATATACCTTCCCCATAAATATGCCTTTGACTATCATTAATAAATTTAGCGTATTTAATCAATATACTATACTTAGTGCATATGCAATTAGCGTGAATAAAAACAATATTTAACGCTAACAATTTTATATACCTAAGTCACGAAATTAATGCATTCAACAACATTCGTAGGGTATTACACATTAGATATCATAAAATTGATAGAAAATAGACTTCATAATAAATACCCATCATAAATCATGAGAGAACAAGTATTAATTAATAACTACAAGTAAAATAAATAAAATATCAAAAGAAACATTGATATATTTTTAATGAAAATACTACAATTTTTTTTGTTATATATAAATAAGGCAGAACTAATTCCTGTACTCTAGGGATACAAAATTATCTCACTAAGTCAATTTCCCTGTTGGTGAAATATTGACTATACCTCTCATCTCTTTACTACACCGCTACCACAGAATACAAATTTAGGTACAGTAATTAAACCAGAATCTCTAAACAATAAAATCATAATTAACAAAATTTAGATAAATTCATATCTTAATAATTTGAAAGGGCTCATTTTTCAATTAAAAGTTCATTATATTTAATATATTTTGGTTATTACAAGTAAAACAATATTCTGTATATTTAAAATTATTTGTTTGTAAAAAATAAAATTCAAAATTCCTATATTACTTCAAATTATTTTAAAACTCGTTCGTAGATAGGTTGTTTTTCGATTTAAATTCATACAAACAACTAACAGGTGTTCATTTTACAGTATTGTTTGCAGTATATGAATCATCGACAAATCAGCCTATTTTATTTTTAAATGCTATACATTCAAACTGACAAATGTTCAACACTCAATAAATTCATTTACTAAGCGCCGACAATAATTTTTAATCCAATTTCAATTCTAATGTAACGCTTTTTAATTAAAACGGATATGTAATATAAAGTAAAATAGAAAAAAACAAATTTACAATAAAGTACTTAAAACACGCAAACCTAAAAATGCTATACAAAATTATTATTCAAAAGTGAATATATTATGGAGTTTTAATGTCTTTTTAATTATTTTTTTTGTATGAAGCTGTTATTAAAATAAAGATATTAATAAAACGGAAAGTTTTTAGATTTGTATGAATGAAAAACTATTTTAAACATTACATGGGTTAAATTTTAGTAAGTTAGTCCGATAAGAGTATTATCTAATTAAAAGGTAATTCGACGAATTATCTTTTGCTAAGCCCATAACAGCTTACCCCATCATTTACGCATGCTAAGTTATCACATATTTCTACGATTAAAATATAGTACTTGAATTTGAGAACATATATTTTAACCAAATAGGTATATCGGTAAAATATTGATCAAAAAATAACATGTTTACAAAAATAAGACTGATTATTACCCAAATTGTTGAAAAAATTCATTAGTATTTTGTCTAAATATATTAATAAAAATAACAATCACAAAATAAAACTTAACCATTATAATTGATTAGGAGTCTAAAAATGTTTTTGTCATTTATAAAATTATAAAAGTAAAATGTAAGCATGTTGATAATTAATATAATATAATTACACAAACATAATTAATAATTTATTAACTAGAGGAAATAATTCATAGTTAATAATTAAAAACGAAATAAAATATTCGTACTTATCAATGTTGAAATTATGTTAGTTTTTCATATTATACTCACTGCTGGTGAAGAAGGATTTTCATTGGGTTTTGACGTCTCTTGAGCATAGTATTGTGCAAGAGTAGCTAATGTCAAAATCACTAAGAAGCTTTTAACCCGATGTTCCATTTTTCTATTTCAATGAACTTGATACAAATATTTTACAAATAACAGCTTCTATTTTCTTTTTAATCTAGGAAAATGATGTGAAATAATGAGGTTATTACTACATTCAAATTACAATGAGAAATTATAAGCTGAATATTGAACACTACGTACGTGCTTTAAAAACCGGCGTCTGGATACAAAAAGTGAATATGTTGGGCGCGAGGGTCCAGTAAAATTGCACCAATCATAAGGTGGGGGGGGGTCCTACGAGTACACGATGCGATATCTAGTGGTATGGTTTATACACAATTTTTTATTTTTAACTCTTGCACGCCGATATTGTGAGCTTTTGAAAACAATATCTTTCAAAACTATTATTGAGTAAAAACTGATAAAACACAAAAACAAATTATTGAAGGACAAAATTTATTACGAAGTAAAAATACTTAACTACTTAAGTTACACTAATAATATTAGTATCGCACTGTGAATGCAAGAGGGCTATATCTCGAGTAAAGTCGATAAAAAATGTCAACGTATTGGCCTTCCATAATAGTGACATTGTATGTTATTATGTTTCTAGCATTTACATTTAGTCTATGTTAAATTTTATACAAGTTGTTTGCATATTTCTACAAAGAACAAAAATTATGATACTGTAAAAAACAGTATTTTTAAGTTTCAAAAACATATACATTTTTTTAAAAACACTGAATCTAAAATTTTAATAGGTATACTAGAGATAATAAGGTCTGACTTGTAACCTATTTAGATTATATATAAAAATGTTGAAATGTATTTTAGTATTTAAAAAAAATGTCCGGTAATTGTTTTTATGAAAAATTTGCGTTAAAGTAAAAAAAATCGAAATTTTTAAAAATATTGTACTTCAAAATGTATTAAAATTAATCTGTTGAAAAAACCTAACAGATTCACATCGAAGTATTTTGTTACGATAGTGATGTTAATAATTGTCAGATATTATCTTTGCTTATCTTTAACTAATCAGCGCCCCTATTGTACTGGATTTTTTTTTTCATTTTTTCATGTGCACATAAACAGATGTAGTCATTACTAAACTAAATTTTTTTAAGTAAGAGTATTATACTTTGTTGTTAAATTTGGATAATTTTATGATACTATATCGGAAAGTTATCGGAATATCTTTTTGAAAAAAATGTTCTAATTTATTCTTCCTAAAATTTTAGGAGATCATGTTTAGAGGTTTTATAAAAATAATGATCATAATCATGTATTAGGAACAAAAATATATTGGTAACATCCTTTGTTTAAAGTGTAAAAATTTCTTAAAATTACCGATAATTATTATACTTAATATTATTTCATGTTTCACTATATTCAATTAAAAATTTAATTCAATTTTTTCCAATGAATTTTATGAACAGATAATTAACACAAGGTAAACATCAGGTTTTATAAATTAGTGATTATTATATTATTATTAATGAGCTAATTTTTCAAAATGTTCACTGTAATGGTGTGTTGACCTTATTATTAATAAAAAAAAACTTAATTAAGCAAATGGTATATTCAATTTCAATAAATTATTTCTTTTCATCTAAATTCAATCACTTACATAATTCCTTAGAACATTAATTATACAGTGTTCAGTAAATAAGGAAACTGGTTCCTATTGTTCCCATTGTTTGTAAAAACCGACCTCGTTTCTTACTTGCTGAACACTCTGTATAGTAGATCACAAAAGCTATCCATAACTGATTAAAATAGGCTTTGCTAAGTTTTAAATTTAATTTTATTAATATAAATATTAAAAACTTTGGAAAAGCATATTTTCTTAGTGGGGTCTAGAATTTATTGCATAAATTTCAAAGAAAAATAATTGATTTTATATTAACAAATTTTTAATTTTCACATGGAGAATGATTTTAATAGTAAAATCATTATAATACTGACAAATAATACAATATATCTTACAAATATAACTACTTATATTATTGTGAAAATTTTAATTAAATAGTTTATTATAAGAATTGAATAATAAAAACATTTTTAATAGCTGTATAAATTTGAAATTTATTTTTCTGATCTAATATAATATGAACGTGAATACAATTTATAATAACTATGCTGTTTTCGCTCTGATCGCTGCACGTTTTCCAGTAACAGCCTGTATAATAAATAATCAGATAAATGTTTAAACTTCCATTAGTTTTACGAGTTAAAATATTTTTTGTACTTACCTGGAAACCAGATTTGATACTAGCAACAGAACAACGTGAACCACATGTTTCACACTGTAAGAAAAATAGACGAGTATCTTTTTGTAATATTGTGTCAGGTGAACGACATGTATGACAAGTAACATATTCTTTAATATATCTCCTGAGCACATTTTCAATTTGTTTTTGCTGGAAACGTCCTTTAATAATTAGTTGACTATTACCATCAACTGAACCACTAGTACCTAATTCAGCTAATAAGAAATCTAATAAATGTTTAGGTTGACGATGTAATCTATAAATTAAGAAATTAGATTTATAATTAGAGCTGTATTACAAAGAATAAATATTGAAAATCATTTCTTACGTTTTGCAAATTTCAGTAAAATTAGCAAATGATGTTTTTTTGGTACCTATTCGCACAACTTGAGGTGGTCTCATGACAAATTTTTGTTTCTTACCAGCAACCATGTCTGGATTTTTTTCTCGCATTATTTCAAATACTCTGGTCAATAATTCATCATACGTATAATCACGATCAGAACCAAACCATGTGTGACTTTCACCATCAGTTGCTAGTTTTTAAATAATAATAAAAGTATAAATATTGCATAATCACAATTAATAATTATTAATTATCAACAACAATCAACACTTTAATAATATATTATTACAACATCTAGAATACAATTTTTCATTTTGATAAATAAAAAGAATATATGCATATAGTAGACCCTTGTCAAATCTCAAAGAGAACAGAAAAAAAGTTTAAAATATCAAATTTCATTAAAATTTAAAAAAAAGGATAAATTTTAAAATACAGAATTTGTTTTTTTATTCTATTAGCAAAGTTTGTTTTTGTTTACTTAAATGTTTTCTAAAGTTGATAATACATTTTCTGCATTGTCTTCCTTATCTTTTGATGCTTCAATAAAATTTACCGTTAATACCTTAATGAATAGATGTACGAGGTGTGTTCAGAAAACAATGGGAATTTTTGTTTTTTGAAATATTTTTTTATTTATTCGTCTACATTTATGTTGTCGCCTTCAAAAGAGTTTTTTTTGGTTTGCTTGACGTAAACAGCATTGAATTTGTAAGTAGTACTCCTTTTTGATCGTATAACCTCCTGGCAAGAATTCATGATACACTATGCTATTAAAATCGAAAAACACAGTGAGCATAACCATCACGTTCGGTCGCACTTGTTGAGCCTTTTATGGCCCATAAACCTATGTTACATCACCTGTTATAACATGTTTAAATAATTCTTTATCGTTGTTGACTTCATGAAGTCACTTCTAAGCAACATCCATTCACTGCCGATTTTATATTCAAAATTCAAAAATAAATTTTGCTGCAACGCATTTCATATCCATAACATTCGAAAAAATTTCATGGCCTGAGCCAATTGATATTCCAACATCTTCAGCAACTTCTCTGATTGTGTTTTAAATAATTGTTCATAACCAAGTCTTTCACTTTTTTCATGTTTTCATCGGTTGTTGATGTGCTGGGTATTCATCATATTCAACGTCTTCACGGCTATATTGGAAATGTTTATACCACTCGTAAACTCTTGTTTTACTCATGGCAGACTCACCATGGGCTTTTGTTTACATTTCACACACTTTGATACACTTGATTTCATTTTTTACACAAAATTGAAAACAAATTTTTTAAACCATTTTTTTTAACAAACGAAAATTGACAAGCTCATAAAAACATGTTTAACTTTAACGGCTGCTACTGACAAAGTAAAAAATGAGAACAGCTGAAAATTTGATCATACTTCAAGAAATTATGTAATAACGTTATAACATTTTTTTTTAATAATTGAACTCTCCAAACTTGTAAAAATTTAAAAATTCCCATTATTTTTTTAACAGTATAGATGTTATATTTGGTAGTAAAAAGTGTAACTTAGTAGAATTTAATTCAATATTAATTATGAGCGGTACAGTTAGTTTTTTTATTATTTGACCTATAATCAACTGGTAAAGATTTTATTCCTTTAAAACACTTAGGTTTCATAGCTTAACCAATAATCATTTTATCCTATTTTATATATACCAACTAAAAAATTTTCAATTCTCACTATACTAATAACCTGTTTGTATATTCAAGATAATAAAATATGATTAATTTTATTTTGAATTATCGAGAGTAAAACCTTATTGAAGATAATGGCAATTTTTAGGGAATTGCAAATAGGTTTAAGATTGTGTAAAATTTGAGATAACAACTTTTGACAAAAATAATCTATTATATTAATTTGGAATTAGCTAAATTAAATTGAATAATTTAAAATATTTTATTTATTATAGTTGCCACATTATTTTTAGCAAGGATTTATGGAATAAATCAATCAACTGTAGACAAAATTTCTTATAAACTTGATTCATATTTGACCTTACCATTGTCCAAATTCCGTTTACCATCGTGAAAGCATGTATATTAAAAGATAACATATAAAACTATTTATATTGTCAATGCTACTAGAAATAATTCAAATAAGACTTACTGTCATCAAGTTTATCACCCTTTTTATCAGTTTCTTCAGCTACTAATTCATCAATATCCTTCTTTTTTTTTTTTTTTTTTTTTGTTTTTGAAAAGTCCATATCTAAATCAAAATCATCCTACAAAGAAAATAATTGTTAAAATAACATTTCAATAATAATTAGAAAAAAAATTTGTATGATATACATCCATAGCATCTCCTTGACCATCACCATTTTCCATTGCAGATGAACTATCAGGTAAAGCATTTTCTAAATCATCTAAATTAATTGTAACCTTTTTTTTCTTTTTCTTTTTTTTGCCAAAGTTATCAAGATCTAAATTTCCATCTATATTTGAAATTACTTAATAATAATGAATACCTTGTCAAAATTTAAAATAACTAAATACCATCAAATTCATCAGGGTCTGGAACAGGATCTTGGTTTTCCTTATCTAAGCTTTGTTCATTTTGCCCATCAGAACCACCTTCAGCTGCTAAAGCACTATCAAGATCAAACTTCTTCTTCTTCTTCTTCTTTTTAATAGATGGGTCAAACAACTAAAATTATAAATCGAAATTTATTAAAAAATGTATTATTATAATTAAACTGTAATCTACTAAAAGTAAGAAATATTAAGTAACTACTTATACCACAAATATATTTTGAAATCAGTTTATTAGTTGTACATATATTTAAAGAGTTTCATAATAAAATTACAAATAGTTAGTAAATACTGTCCAATTTAAATTCAAAATACATAAGTAAATGCAAAAGTTGGTAACATTAATGAACATTTGTTTATTTGATAAAATTGTGTTAGTAGATAGTCTACAATTTTTAACAAAAATATTTCTATACATAATTATTTTATATAATACCACAATAATAGATTTCATTTTAATAAACCTACAGTTTGGTATAACTTAAAATAATAAATAGACGGAGATTGTTTTTTTTTTAACATTAGAGTGAAAACACGACAAAAATACTTATCAAGGTACTTAATTATTGAAGATTTACTTACAGTTTCCTCTTCAGTCATTTTTTGACAAATTTAGTTACACAACTATAGTTTAACAATGGCAAAAAAAAAGTAAAATTTGGAATTCCAAAACTGTAAATTCTAAAAAAAATGTGGGTACTATGGTGTGTGTGAAAAATATTGCATCAGCTCATCAGCTAATGTGGCCAATGAATTACAATCAACTTAAACGATTTAACAGTGTTTTTATTTCATATAACTAGTGATAAAGAATAAAAAATCAATATAATAAATAGTGTAGAATTTTTTGTTTACCAAATATGTAGAATTCAAAACTATAAATTTATTAATAAAATTATAATAATAAAAATGTATAATTTAAATCAATTTTATTTTGATTGGAGTTTAATAAAAGCTAAATATTTGTGTTCGATTGAGTGTTGGCAGCACCGGTCTGTTTTATCTATATCTTAATTGTACTATTATCGCTTAAATCACTAAATTGTGAGCCTCAAATAAAAAACAAAGAATACTTCCTGACAGATCTGTGAAAATGGAAATTCGAAAAATGTTGTTAAAAATGATTTTTTTGAAATAAAAAAAATCTGATTACATTACTTCCTGTTTAATTATTACAGTGACTATTTCATTAATGTGACAATTATTTATGTTTATTTTTATGCCTGTGATCAATTTTTTTTTTAATCTTTAAAAATATGTATTCATTTTACTCAATGGTTGTTGTGCTCCTTATAGCTGTTAACAATATCCAAGGTTTGTTTAGATTTAATTTTTAATATGTTTCGTAATTAATGTAATTATTTTTCACAGGCAAGCGTCTCAATCAATATGTAGCTCATTATGAGCCTGTTGATTATGATCCTGAACATTTGGCTTATAGTCATAATAGAGCCAAACGATCAGTAATAAGTTCAGATAGTAGTGTAAATTTAGCATTTAAAGCACATGGTCATCATTTTCAATTACGATTACGTCGAGACTTAGAAACATTCTCAAATTCAATTGAAGTTTTAGATAGCAGTGGTAAACATTTACATCCAGATCATGTAGATACATCCCATATTTACCATGGACATATTGTAGGTAAGTTACATTTTAATAAGTGTATCATAAATATTCTTGCCATGATTATTTAGTTACTTATGATTTAAAACTATATTAATTGAAGCTTTTAAATGAATGTAATCTTGGTTGTTCTTAGATTGAATTTTATACATAAAATATATAAAAAAAATTGTTGTTATATATAACTTTTTAAATGAATATATTTATAATAATTTATTTTTAAAGGGTTGGCTTGGCCTAATAGAAACGTATGTTTTGGTACATCGGGTTATCTACAGGGTGTCAACAATATTTTTCTTGTAATTTTTTAGTGATGTCTGGTCTCTGGTGCAAGCCAGCCATATAAATCGTCCTGTCCATCAATGGCCTAGCCAAGAAATATCTTTGACTCCCTAACATGTGAGAGAGGGGCACCACCCTCTGTAACATGTTAAGTTTTAGAAATAGAAGGATATGAAACTGATCATTATATATTTATATATATATATTTATATTTTTTAAATGTTTTACTGTTTGATAAAATATTTAAATCTCCCTTATTATTTAAAGATCAAAACATCAAATTATTGCAGTTATCTGTATTATAATATTGATAATTTTACTATCAAGTAAGTTTTCTTAATTTTAATGAGAGATAATGTAATATCAGAAAAATGGTAAACCATTTACAATTATAAACATCTATTAAAAGTGTTTTTATATATTTTAGCTTCGATGAGAAGCTGAGAAGGTATTAATTTTACTATGATATGTTTTGTTTTTTTTTTTTTTTT